TTACAGGCCGATAGAGTTCAGAATTATAGTTTACAGACCATAGTATCTACGAAAGCAAGAAACAAATCAAACAAAACCAACTGGCAAATAAAAAAATACAAGTACAATCAAATAGGAGCAAATACTCCTCATCATCGGAGGGAATGGAGTTCACATCCTCATCTGGTGGCAGCTGTCCTCCTCTCGCCAACCCAAACCACTGCTGAGTGATTGCAGAAAGGGGGTGATCTTCCAGCAACTCCTCCAAGTCGGCCTCCCCCCGAGCAGCACGAAGGCTCAAGTCAGCAAGCAGTAGCTTTAGCGTCTCCTCAACGCGGACCAACCTCTAGTCCGAATTAACAGCAATAGCAAGGGGGGTCTATTACTAACGTAACATCATAGGCCTTGATAAGATAAGTCACTGGAATAGTCCGCTCATAGTGAAACTCCTCCTCTACATGGTGCGTTCGCAATAATCGAGTGACCATACTCGGGTAATATAGATGGCGGGCCCCAAGTGGTCGCACTCTAGCCATATGCTCCAGCATGAGTTTTCCAAGATCAACCCGCATCCGTGTCAACAAGGCATAGATCAAACACACTTTCAGTCGTGGGATATCAATGTCACTTTGAGTGGGCATGATTTTGGCATTAATCAACCGTAAAACAGCCCTTGCTGGCCGCTGGAATGTACTCTTCTTCATGTCCTTATGGAATTCATTTGCATCCCGTGCCCATGTGGCAGAAGAGTCAGCGCCACATAGCAGTCGGCGGATAGCCGGATAGTCTGGCCGACGGAGAAAACTCTGAAAGAGCTTGTGGGAATGCTCTGTGAAGCCCATAATCCGATTGATCACTTGGGAGGAGAATGGAATCACTTTACCCCGTACCTGTACTTCGTACACAACATCTAGGCCGGCCTCAGGTTGCCAGTTAGCATAAAATTCTTTGACTAGAGTCACACTCACCGCATCACCTGGACGGAACAGACTGTCGAAACCCAAAGCCCGAATGTTGTTGTATATCTCACTATATTTGCAGGCCAACTTCCCCTCGTCAATAGCAACCTCAGGCTCCGGTGGCACTGCCGGGACAAATGTCTAGAACCAGCGTCGAGCATGAGCTGGGACAGCCCGTATACTATATTTGCATGCTAGTACCTCATCCGGATCAGGGTCAATGCACTCCTCTTCCTCCTCTACTGGGGTTGCGGGGAGATGCCCGTCTCCCACCTCGATGACTACTAGAAGCAACCTCAGAAGAACTAGTGTTAGAGCATTTGTTTAGGCGGCGAGACATTGTAACTTGAGGATGAATGAAAGGGATGGGAGGTGTGTGTGGGAAAGGAATTTGAGAAGAAAAGAGAGTGGGGAAATTGAGGGAAGGGCTAGAGCATATGTTCTGTAGGGAATGAGAAAGAGTAAGGGGAGGGGGGTGTTGAACGGGTGCTGGTTAAAAAAACAAAAAAAATATTTTTTTTTAAGTTACGCACTGCCGCGTCACACACTGCGGCGCCCCATGTGGCCCGGTAGTGTATTTTTATCAGAGGCCATGTTTTTTTTCTTTCTCAGACCCGTTTGGCCTGGCGCGGTGCCGCATGCGGTGTGTTAGGCCATTTTACACAGAGTTTGCTTTGTTTTCGACATTTAGCTTATGGGTTGCACCCCGACTCTATTATGTACTTATTTTATGTCCAATTCATGCTTGTACCTTCCCAAACAAATCTCACAACTCCTAACTTCTAATAATACTAAACTATAATTATGGGTTAGTGAGGTTAAAAATTGGTTTGCCTCCCAACAAGCGCCTGATTTAACGTCGCGGCACGACGCAAGTAAGTGCATTTAAGGTACGCTCAACATCGGAGGCTCGATCAAATGGATCACTGACACTTCCTTTGCCTCATCCATGCCCACATAATGTTTTAATCTGTGCCCATTAACTCTGAACGTGCGAGAGTCATTTTCCGTAGCAATCTCTACGGCACCAGTGGGGTGAATTCAACCACACGAAATGGCCCTGACCATCGCGACTTTCATTTTCCCGGAAATAACCTTAGTCTTGAGTTGTATTGCAATACCGTATATCCAGGTTTAAAATTCTGCTCAATAATATTTTTATCATGTATCATCTTCATTCTCTCCTTGTATAATCTTGTGCTCTCAAAATCATGATAGCGGAACTCATCAAGCTCGTGCAACTCCATGACTCTACTTGTTCCCGCAGCTTCCATATCGAGATTCAACTATCTCAACGCCCACCAAGCTCTATGATCCAACTCTACTGGTAAATGACACGCCTTCCAAACACCAACTTGTATGGTGACATGCCGATTGGAGTTTTGAAAGCGGTTCGATAAGCCCAAAGTGCATCATCTAACTTCCTCGCCCAATCTGTTCTAGTAGCATTCACAGTCTTAGTCAGCACACTCTTTATTTCTCTATTCGAGACTTCCACTTGCCCGCTTGTTTGTGTATGATATGGGGTGGCTACCTTGTGGAGTACATCATACTTCTCCAACAACTTTGTGAAGGCTCGATTACAAAAGTGAGTGCCTCCGTCACTGATTATTGCTTGGGGTGCCAAATCGGGTGAATATGTTCTTTCTCAAAAAACCAATTACTTCCTTTGCATCATTTGTAGGGAGTGTTGCAGCTTCCACCCATTTGGACACGTAGTCCACAGCGACGGGTATGTACTTGTTGCCATATGAGCTAATGAAAGGCCCCATGAAATCGATCCCCCATACATCAATCACTTCTACCTCCTGAATTGGGTTCATCGGTATCTCATGTCGGCGGGAAATATTCCCGGTTCGTTGGCACTCATCACACCTCTTTATCCATAGATGTGCATCTTTGAACAGTGTTGGCCAGTAGAAGCCCGACTCCAAGACTTTCGCAGCTGTCCTTACTCCCCCCGAAGTGCCCACCATATGGTGACGCGTGACGTGCCTGCAAAATAGAAGACTGGTCTATCTCGGGGATCATGTTATCAACACAAATCCTAAACAGATAAGGCTCATCCCAATAATACATGCGACAATCACGAAAGAACTTTTTCTTTTGAACAGAGGAAAGGTCATAATGAACAATACCGCTCGCCAGGTAGTTTGCAATGTCTGCATACTATGGCGCTTCCCCAAGGCTCGTGGCTAATAGTTGTTCATCTGGAAAAGTTTCCAGAATCTCTTCTACCTCAACCTTCTTTTCAACTCCTTGCAGCCTAGATAAATGATCAGCTACTTGGTTTTGCGTTCCCTTTCTGTCACAGATCTCCAAATCAAATTCTTGCAGCAGTAGCACCCATCTAATCAGGCACGGTTTTGACTCCTTCTTCTCGATTAAGTACCTGAGAGCAGCATGGTCAGTACAAACAATTACCTTTGAGCCTGCCAGGTATGACTTGAACTTGTCAAATGCGAACACCACTGCCAGCATCTCCTTCTCGGCCGTAGTGTAATTTAGATGGGCTCCACTCAACGTTCTACTTGCGTAGTATATTGGATGCATGATTTTATCTTTTCTCTACCCAAGAACTGCTCCCACAGCATAATCACTCGCATCACACATCAGCTCAAACGGTTGCTCCCAGTCAGGGGCAACTATGATAGGTGTTGTTACTAGTATCTTCTTTAATTCCTCAAAAGCTACCCTGCAATCATCAGAAAACACAAAAGGGTGATCTTTTTCAAGCAATTTACACAAGGGGTTAGCAATTTTGGAAAAATCTTTTATAAATCTCCTATAGAAACCGGCGTGCCCAAGGAAACTTCTGATTGCTTTGACGGAAGTGGGTGGTGGAAGCTTTTCTATCACATCAACCTTTGCACAATCCACCTCTATACCTTTACTTGACACTTGGTGCCTCAAGACTATACCTTCCTGTACCATGAAATGGCACTTTTCCTAGTTGAGTACCAGATTAGTCTCGATACACCTTTTCAAAACTCTTCTCAAGTTCACAAGGCAATCATCGAATGAGTTCCCCACTACTGAGAAGTCATCCATGAAAACCTCCATTATATCCTCTACCATATCTGTGAAGATGGCCATCATGCACCTTTGGAATGTGGCGGCTACGTTGCATAGGCCAAACGGCATTCGCCGAAAAGCATAGATTCCATAAGGGCAGGTGAACGACATTTTCTCTCTATCCTCCGAGGCAATAGAAATCTGACTACACCCCGAGTACCCATCCAAAAAGCAAAAGTGAGACCTCCCTGCCAATCTATCTAGCTTCTGATCAATGAATGGCAGTGGGAAATGGTCCTTCCTGGTAGCCAAGTTCAACTTCCTATAATCCATAAAGATTCGCCAACTTGTGACTGTTCGTGTAGAGATTAATTCATTCTTCTCATTTTTCACTACCGCCATACCTCCCTTTTTTGGTACACACTACACTGGGCTAACCCAGTTGCTGTCAGAGATGGGGAATATGATTCCCGCATCTAACCACTTATCACTTCTTTTTTTCACCACTCCTTTCATGTTGGGGTTCAGCCTTCTTTGATGTTCTCTGGAAGGTTTGTGTCCATCTTCCAGTAAAATCTTATGCATGCAGAAGGTCGGGCTGATCCCCTTTATGTCTGCAATGGTCCACCCAATTGCAGTCTTGCACTCAGTCAGTACCTGCAAAAGCTGTTCTGCCTGCACATCTAACAAACTGGATGAGATAATAGCAGGTAGAGTTGAGTTAGGTCCTAAGAATGCATACCTGAGATGAGATGGCAATGGTTTTAGTTTCAACTTTGGTGGCTCTTATATTGATGGCTTAGCTGGAGGAGTTTTTCTTTCCTCTAAGTGCAAGGGCTCAAATTTGAGCTCCCTTCTTCAAAAACCTTGCCCTTCAATATCAAGTACCCACTCTGCTAAGTCTTCACCATTAGCTTTATCTAAATTCATGAGACAGGCTGCTAGAGGGTCTTTAATGTTCAATGCCTCATCTTCCTCCTCCAAAACTACATCCACCGCATCTATTAGAGAGCAATTAGCAAATTCACATGGTCTCCGCATAGATTTCTACACGTTGAATATTATCTCTTTATCGTTTAATCTCATCTTGAGCTCTCCAGTTTCACAATTAATTAAAGCTTTCCCAGTGGCCAAGAATGGTCTTCCCAAAATTATGGGAATTTCCTCGTCAACCCGACAGTCAAGGATGACAAAATCTGCTGGGAACACAAACTTTCCAACCTGTACCAATACATCATCTAGAATCCCAGAGGGCCTCTTCACTGTTCGGTCAGCCAACTGTAATAACATAGACGTGGGTCTAGCTGTTCCAATGCCTAGCCTTTTGTAGATAGCCAGGGGCATAAGGTTTATGCTTGCTCCCAGATCACACAGTGCCTTAGCATATGCAAAGTTGCCTATTGTGCAAGGGATTGTGAAACTCCCTGGGTCAGACAACTTCGCAGCTATGGATCTCGTTACAACAGCACTGCACGTCTGAGTCAGTGTAACCGTGGCCAAGGCTTGAAAGTCGAACTTGAGGGACATCAAGTCCTTCATCATCTTCGCATAACCAGGCATCTCCTTTAAACTATCAATCAATGGAATGTTTACCTGAATTTGCTTCAACATCTCCAATAATTTCTTGTACTCCTCATCTTTTTGATACTTGGCCAATCTCTGTGGGAATGGTGCTGGAGGTCGCTTCTTCCCTATGATTTAATTTTTCTCTTGTTTAGGCACTGCTTCTTCTGTCGGTTCCGGTGCAACTTCCGTCTCTTTCACAACCTCTTCTTCTTTATTGGTGTTCTCTTGCGCATGCTGTACCGTCACCTCAGTTAACCCTGCTGAATTGTCTAGCCCAACGGGTACTGGCACCAGTGTCTCCGTCGGTCTGCTTTCACGAGCAATTTCTTGCTTTGGAGCTAAGTGTCTACCATTTCGGAGACTCACTGCCATCAGCTGCTTCGGGCCCTGCTCTTTTGGATTGATTTGGGTATTTGCAGGTAACGTCCCATGAGGACGATTATTTAGGGCCATGGAAATCTGTCCTAATTGGATCTCAATATTCTTTATCGCCGACTCATGTGAGTCTACTCAGTTAGTTAGTTTTCCAGTGGACCCAATCACTTGTTGCATCATTCCCTCAAGTTTAGCAAACCCATCTTCATGTCTCACAGTCTGTTGTTGTGGAGGTTGTTGATAAGCCTGCTGCTGATTTTGCTGGTTGTACCCTTGTTGCCTTTGGTAAGGCACCATTTGGCCCTGTGGTCGCATAGCCCCATGGTTATTGTTGTTGTTGTAAGGCTGCTGAGCTGGTCTATATTATTGATTCTGTTGACCCCAATTCTGATCACCTGGTCTCGGTCCCCCGTAGTTGGCCATATAATTCATGTTCTCCTGACATTGTTGGTTATCACCTTTAGCACTCCATGAGCAGACATATGGTTGATTAATGCATGATGTACATAAACCCCCATTAGTTGCATCAACCATGTGTACCTGCTGCTTCTGGCCTGATTCATCAACCTTTTTGGTGAGGATGCTCATTTGTGTCAGTAGAGTGGCCATATTTTCAGCTATGGAGTTAGTCGGGTCTAAAGCCACTGAGTGAACCACAGGAGTGATGGGAGCGTTTCTTGTCGTCCATCCTGAGTTTTGTGCCATCTTGTCAAGTAGGATCTTGCTTTCTCTGAACGTTTTGCTCAAAAATGCTCCACATGCTGAAGCATCGACATTGGCTTTCAAGCTATCTGCCAAACCCATGTAAAACCTCTGCCCCAACATCTGCTCCGGAATACCATGATGTGGACAAGTAACCAGCAGACCCTTGAATCTCTCCCACGTTTCTTGTAACGTCTCTGTTGGTTTCTGTTTGAAGCTCAATATTTCATCAAGTTGCTGAGCAGTCTTGTCGGGTGGGTGAAATTTTTTCAAATATTGCTTGACTAATTCCTCCCAAGTAGTGATGGAGTTTATGGGGAGTAAATTAATCCAAGTATGAGCTGATCCTGTCACTGAGAATGGAAATAACAACAAATGTATTGCTTCTGGTGTCACGTTGTGGTGCCTCTGCGTGGCACATATTGACAGGAAATTCTTTAGATGTTGCTGAGGATATTCAACGTATGACCCAGAGAACAGTCCCTTGTTCTGCAACAAATGTAGCATGCTATTTGTGATCTGGAATGAATCTGCTTGTATCTGAGGGACTACAATGGCAGTTGCTAAGTTGTCAGCGGTGGGTTGTGCCCAATCATATAGTGCTGCTTCTGGCACAAGAGGTACCACACCCTGATCATTTGGGCCATTCACGTTGTTTCTGTTATTTAGATTATCGTCTTCCCTGTCTGGTTCAATGTTTTCGGTTGAGTTCTGTTGTTGTTTACCTTTCCTGTTTGCACGATTCAATGCCTTGAAAACTTTCTCAGGATCTGATAATGATTCAAACAATTCACTAGTTCTTAAGGAGTTTCTAGGCATGCACCTGTAACAACCAAGACTACAAATGCTAGAATTTCAATGATCAGTTTAAATTGAAGAAAATTGACTACACTAAGAATTTTTGCACTTCTTTTAACTACAATTAATAACACCGTTAACTCCCCGGCAATGGCGCCAAAATTTGATCACGCCCAACTATGCCCTATAAAAAGGACAAAGCGATCGATGCAAATATATTCCGGTTAGCAAGTCCAGAGTCGAATCCCACAGGAAATTAACCTATCAATCACAGCTATTGGACTCACAGAAATTCACGTATTCAATCTTCAGAGATATTTGAGTAACAAATTGGATGTTTATTAACTAAATATTACGTAATAAAAATGTAGTAAATAAGAACTAGCTATAAATGGTTTGTAAGCAAGAATGGGAATGGTCTAAGGTTATGATTTCCCCTATTGTCGGAATCCTTTCCGCTATGTTTGCTATAAATTTGCCTAAGTCTTTTCTATTGATCATGAGCACTCTGACTGTTGTAACTCTATTTACCCTGGAATCCGGATAACAATTGAATTTATATGGGGTTTTAAGGATCCGTGAACTAAAAGATACAAAAGGTTTGGATTGAGGAAAACAAAAGATAAAGACTCAACAATTGCTGCTAAAGTAAATAATCGCAGAATATAATATTGCTTAGAACAATTGTGCTTGATAGCGTACAAGAATTGAGAGAGATGGTACCGTAGTGTAATGGTTTCCGATCCCCTCTTTATGGGGTCTTCTCCCCTTTTATACATTCTGATTAAGGGTAAAAATAAGGTAGGTAAATTAATTACATCGTGGATCCCTGTAATTACGCCTTAATGGCCTGAAGTGGTTGAGAAAATCACGTTTGGGCGAGATATCCGGCGACGCTTGGTTATCCGTTACGAGTCCGGCTTCCGACCTTGTGTGTTTCTCCATCCGGTGGTGACTCATATCGAGCTCTGCAACGGTCTTGAAATGACTCGACCTCGGTTGTTGACGTGGCCGTCGTTCTACCTTGCATCCAGGTCGGGTTCGATGGCCCCGACTTGCCCCGGACCGGACCCAACCCGGTCGGGCTCAAGCAAAAAGGGTATCACCCAATACAAACTCTCTCCCAAGTAATTACAATAATATACTAGACATATTCTCTCGAATTACGCTAGCTAACTTTAAGTGCAGCTCACTTAGATCGCACCCAAGATTTCATTATCTCTAATTCCACTTTTAAACCCTTCGTATTGATCCCTCATATACATTAGGAGTGATGATGTTCAACAACTACCTAAATATGAACTCTCTCCCGAGTAATGCACACTAAATAGGAATAGCTAATTGAGGGCCCTTCAATCAACAACAATAAGTATGTAGTTGAACAAATAAAGATAATACTATAGCAAATCTATATTAACATAACGAGAAAGTCATCCTTCAACAGGTTCCATCAGAACCCTAGATTAGGTATTTAGATACTCATGCTCATAGTAACAATTTCCGAAATAATTTGCATAATTAAATTACAAAGTAATGAAGAAGGAATGAAGAATTCAATGATAATGTCCTTCGAAAATGGCTCCAAACGTTTTCTTCCTTCCGAAATAGTCTCCCAAGGTCTATAGTGTGTCAAAAGTCCTCAAAATAGCATTTTTATATGTATGTATACCCAGTAGGGTCAGGCCCAGACGAAACACCCTTTCCTACGCGAAATAGGACTTGGCTCTGTAAAATTTGTACAGGCGCGCCACACGCTGCGGCGCGGTAGTGGGGAAATTCAGAGAGCTATTTCTATCCGACTGTTGGAAAATTGCACAGATGCGGCACACACTGCGGTGTGGCAGTGTAAATTTCCCATAGTGAAATAATTTCATCCTCTTTTGACATCCAGACTTGGTACACAACCTCCGAACACGATCCCGGCTTAATGTATTGGGCTTTTACTCAGACTTCAAAGCTCCAGATTGATTGATTTAGCTGCAAATTAACTTTTGAACTCGGGATCACTTCCTGCAAGGCATAAAACACGTACTAAGTGTAATTCACTATCGTTTGAGCTTAAGCACACGTAAAAATGCAGTAATTGGAATGTAATACTACGGCTAAAACACGAGTTTCTAGCCTCACATCACACGTGTCAAGAAGGGTGGCAATCCAAGTCAAATCAACAACCAATAGATTTGTGCCAAGTGTCTAGATGGTATTGGTCAGTTCAAACGGATCAATCAAATAACAGAGCCACACCACTCTATACAACTATAAATAGAGGTCTTCATAAAGCTAGAAGACACCAGAATTGAACAAGAAGCAAGCAGAGAGCTCGTGGATCAAACACCGCAGATTTCTCAACAAGCTACAAGTTCAAGCGCTCAAGCACTAAAGCTACAAGTTCAAGTTCAAGTTCAAGATTAAGAATGAAGCCGAATCAAATACTAAGGTGTTCGAGATCAAATTACTTGTTCGTGTTCAAATACAAATTCAAGTTCAAGAAGGAGATTCAAGACCAAGCTCTACAAGGCCTTGAATCAAATCAAAGTCAAGTTCGTTGAGATACTTTACATTCTTGAAGAATCAGAGGAATACCATAGAGATTGTAACACTCATTACTTGTTGAACTCAAATACTACATTTGTTACACAATTTTTCAGTCTTGATTATTTACTTTTCTCGACGCAAAAATTTGTTGTTACAGCATAATTTACCATGATACCCATATTAATTGGTGTATAGTCTTGATGGATTTGTGAAATGATTTGGATTGAGTTATTAATGCTAAGGACAAAATAGAAAAACTAAATTATTTTTCTCTTGATATGTGAAAAGTGACAAGTAAAAATTAAATTTATTTTTAAGATACTTGACAACTAAAAGTGAACGGAGGGAGTATTTGTGAACTTAAAAGAGAAACATATTTTTAACTTTATAGATTAGCTTAGAGAGAAATGAATGATGATCTGCATACTGTCAAAGCAAGGGGGAAAATATAAAAGATAAAGTTTAGGAAGTAATATCAACACATTCCAAAAATAAACAAAACTCTATTTCCTGTAATTTTCATTGCAAGAAAAGTGAAATTCGATCAAGTGGAAATTAGCCATCAC